TGAGTCCCAGGAGTGGTGTGGTGACCTAAAGGGGGAGCTCTCGCCTCACAATCAGGAGGCTATGAGTTTGATCCTAGGTAGAGGCAAATATTTCTCTGGGCACGTTGAGATTATATCTGCTGAATATCACTCCGTATTGGTGACAGGAAGGGCATCCAGCCAGTAAACACTCAGCTCCATTCAGTTGCCCAGACTCCACCCCGCAAGGGATTATGGGCTCATTAAAAGATGATGATGAATGTATCGAGCCCCACGAGAGGATATTTCACCAAGCACTAAATTTTAAAAGTTGAAGGAGGCCGAAGAGTTGGTTTATTTTAACCCAGCAGAAAAACGGACAGAGTACAACACCAATTATGTGAAGTCATAAAATTTGCTTTCCTGACAGGATTGGATCACTGAGAGAGTTTGAGACTCTTGGGGACATTTTGTGAGGTGGAAAGCAAAAAATAGTATTTGCGTTCAAGAAGACACTGTGTTATATTTCTGTTGCTGTTGAGTAATATCTCATTTTGGGTTTTTAAATTAAAAAAAAAGTTTTTACATACACTATACAATGCTGGAAATTTGTATACATTTCAGGGGGGTAAGAAGGGAATGGAAAGACTGGATCACATCCCAAAGGCTGTTTGTGGAGACATTAAAAAAATAAGTTCGTGTTTCAGAAATATCTTTTCTTCAATGCTCCACGATAACAATCTTTTATAAACACAGCAGAGAAAAGTTGCATCAATTTTGCGGAATGCATTTTCCTAACACAGTGTACAGGTAGCCCTCAACTTACAACCACAATTGAGCCCAAAATTTCTGTGGCTAAGCGAAACAGCTGTTAAATGAATTTTGCCCGATTTTACGACCTTTCTTGCCACCGTTGTTAAGTGAATCACTGCAGTTGTTAAATTAGTATCAGGGTTGTTAAGTGAATCTGGCTTCCCCATTGACTTTGCTTGTCAGAAGGTTGCAAAAGGGGATCCCACGACCCTGGGACTTTGCAACCGTCATAAATAGGAACCAGGTGCCCAGCATCCAAACTTTGATCATGTGACCATGGGGATGCTGCAATGGTCATAAGTTTGAAAAATGGTCATAAGTCACTTTTTTCAATGATGTTGTAAATTTGAATGGTCACTAAGTGAATTGTTGTAAGTTGAAGACTATCTGTATCTCAGGTTCATTTTTTAATTCTCTATAGGCAACCTTGCATTAGATCAGAGGGAACACAACTGTTTTCTGCCAGGGTTACCCTAAGCCAGTGATGGCTAACCTTTTTGCCATCGCGTGCCAGGAAGGGGGGGGGAAGTTCGTGTACCCACATGCCCACACCCATTATTCTATGTGCCCGGGCCTGCGCATGCACGTGCGCCCTCCCCCCCCACTCTTGGCATGCGATGGCCCGGTAGGCCCGTTTTTCTTTCTCATGTGGCTCCAGATCCTCTCTATGCATCTGGGGAGGGCGAAAACAGCCTTCCCCACCCCCTCAGAGGCCCTCCAGAGGCCCAAAACAGCCTGTTTCCCAATTTCCAGTTGTACAGGAAGTGACTTTTGTGCTCTCCCCAGCCTCCAGAGACTCCTAGAGAGGCTCTGGAGGCGGGGAACAGCAAAAAAGTCACTTCCCGTCCAACTGAAAGTTGGAAAATGGGCCATTTCGGGCCTCCGAGGGGATGGGGAAGGCTGTTTTCGCCCTCCCCAGATGCATAGAGTGGATCTGGAGCCAGGTGAGAAAGAAAAACGGGCCTTCCCCACCCCCTAGGCCCTCCTCAGGCAGGAAACAGCTTGTTTCCCTACTTCTGGTGGGCTCAGAAGGCCCAAAAATTCGCTGGTCGGCAAGCGCATGCGTGCCGGAACCGAGCTGGCATGCCAGGCGACATGGCTCCGCGTGCCACCTGTGGCACGCGTGCCATAGGTTCGCCATCATGGTCCTAAGCCATTCAGTGCATGGAGGATTCACACACACACATAAACAGACACACATACCAATGTGTGTCTGTTTACTAAACAGACTAGAAGAAAACAAGAAAAGGATGGAACAAGGACAAAAGCTGAATTTGCTGCAATTGAATTTCAGGTGAATGAGAATCAAACTAAATAAAGTCAATGCAGTTACGATAGTTATTCTACTTGTACTGAATTACATGATTTCCCCCATTTATCTCATTAATCGATGCAGTTTGGCAATGATTAAAAGTTCTTCAAGTACCTTTTTTGGGCCATGGTGGTCAAGAGATCATACATTGTATGTGCTTAAAATAGATCGGGTCAAAATATTACTATGTCTTAACCAGAGCCAGTTGTAATATTTAACTCAACTGAAGGAAGTTTCCTATCATGATTATCTCTAAGGGAGGTTTAAAAAAAAGTCAATAGGGTTTATATTTGCCATATAAACACTTAACAATATGGTGTGCAAAGGGGCCTAAATGTTATAAACACTGCAAATTGCTAGGGTCCCAAGAAATAAATAACTAAACAATACCATCGGCATTGACTAATTCACCATCAGTCAATTGCGAAAGGCAGCCTTACTTGGAATGGCTTACACCCTGTGATGCCATAAAACAACTGCATCTGTCTATCCCAAGTCTTTGGGAAGGACTCAATAGGCAGACAAAAATGTCAAATCCAGACTGAACATCTAGCTGATTGTGCGACGAACCATAACAACCAAAATAACTTGGACGGCAGTTAGAAAATCTGCTCATTGATTGACAAAATTTCCATCAGTCAGTCACAAAAGGCGACGCTGCTTGGATCCACACATATATTATGCTAACACATTATGACAGCCTAGGTTCCTGGGAAGACCTCAACGCAAATGAAGGTCAATACCAGTTAAAGAACTCGCAGCCGCGACTTCATGTTGTTGTGACAGACAGACCCTAATAATAATAGTAATAATTTATTCAATTTATATGCCACCTGACTCCCAGTGACTCGGTGGTTTATAGTTGTTAAAATGTTTAAAACACAGAGAACAATGCAAAAAACAAAGCCGTCACAAGACAAAGAAGAAAACAATGACAAAGAGAATAAACCAAGAGGAGATGTTAAGAAACCAAATGGGCTTTTTAAAATTTTGTTATTGCTATTATTTTTTCTTAACATACATAAACAACAATAACAATACAGTGAAGACTTTGGAACCTTTTTATATAAAAATAATTTAATGTATTCTGCATTTGTTTATCAATGTCACATTTACATTTAGATGTAAAATTTAAGCCACCTTATGTTTATCAACACTAAATTTTAGAAATCTTAGTTAATACTGACCAACTTTTTTTCTTTACTTACTTAAATGCTTACTTTAAGCACTTAAATTATCTAAACGTCAGAGTGTTAATAATCTTCAGGCAACACTATAAATTCCCATTCTCAAATAATGTAACAACCTGTGTTTTGTATTAATAAATTAAAAGAGTATAAGAAAATTGTAAAGATATCAGCTGTAACAGTGTAATCCAAGACCTCTCTCTGTTTCCGTATTTTGCTATTTTGGCTTTTTTTAACCTTTGTGCACACTGCAACCTGCTTTTCTCATGCTGAATTTAGGAGAGTCACTATGTTTTATTTTTGATTTCTTATGTATGGATTTCAAATGATGAAAAGTAAAACATTTATACTCCTGAAGATGGGAGGGGCAATTTTCACTTCTAATGTATTTGCTTGTGATGGCAATTGGAGGTGTGGGCAAAAATATGATGTCACCAAAATGGGTGAGGCTAATATTTTTGCTCCTGTGGAGAGGGTAATGGTGGTATCACAGGTGATCATATTGTCCCTTAAACTTACCACAAAGGAGGAAAATAACCCAGTTTCCAGAGCTAAGGCACATATATGTGTGTTTATATGTAGACGTGTACGTGTGTATGTACATACACCTTATGATTCTTGATGAACGTATCTCTTCTTTTATGTACACTGAGAGCATATGCACCAAGACAAATTCCTTGTGTGTCCAATCACACTTGGCCAATAAAAAATTCTATTCTATTCTATTCTATTCTATTCTATTCTATTCTATTCTATTCTATTCTATTCTAGTCTAGTCTAGTCTAGTCTAGTCTAGTCTAGTCTAGTCTAGTCTAGTCTAGTCTTATGCTATTCTATTCTATTCTATTCTATTCTATTCTATTCTATTCTATTCTATTCTATTCTATTCTATTCTATTCTATTCTGTGTATGTACCGGTATGTATGTGTGTGTGTGTGTGTGTGTGTGTGTGTGTGTATATGTATATATGTGTGTGGGTTTGTGTGTGTGTACTGTATGTATAACATCACTCATTTTGCTCCCCAAATCTGGGGAGGATACAAAAGGGTAGTGTTGATCTTATATAACACACACACTTAAATAAATACACCTTGGTTTAAAAAAAGATACCAGGTTGAGTTTGTACCCGTTGAAGCATAAACTACAATAATTGGATTTATTAAATATAGGATGCCATTGCTATAAAGCAGCTTGCTTGCTTTTTAATTTAGCATGTCGCCCAAAGCCACCATTTTGCAAAAAAGAAAGGCAGGAAGAGTAAACTGGCTAGCTTTGAAACCATAGATATGGGCCCACCCATATGGTTTGCAAATGAATGAATGAATGATGGCTTAGTACATTGTGTGACTTAAGCCAAATGTGGTTAAACAAACAGGGGGGGGGGGGTGTTGACCTTAAAAAAGCCCAGCTTCAGAAGAAAGCTGAATGGGAATGAAGGCGTTTTACCCCCGCGTACTTTATAAGCTGACTTAAACTATTAGGGTCAGTGCACAATTGTGGCTTACTTCGACTGGAATCGCCCATCTTGCTAAGCCATGATCACAGCTGCTTGAAAACCCGCAACAGCTCGGTTCACCCGCAAAGCCACAAAGCCACACACCGCCTACAAACCACACAAGCCACCCCGTTTTGCCAAACGAAACAGCCGCTTTCGCGCCTCAGCCAAAGGGACTCGAACCCAGCAAGCAGCGCCGTGCCCGGGGAACGGGCAAGACGGGGCCAAAAGCGGCACGTGTGAAGCGGCCTATTCCGCTGGAGCAAAGCCCTGGCGGGTCGCTAGAGGGAGACCGGCGCCACCGAAAGCGTCGCCGAGGCAGAGGCGGGCACTTTGGAAGGCGAAGCTGCACTTAGCTTACCCTGCGTGGCGGCGGCGGCGGCTTTTTCCGCTTGGCTCCGATGACCTGCGGGAAGCGAAGGGCTCCGCCGAGGCTCACCAGCCGCAGTTCCCGGGCCAGAAGCGGACGGGTTTGGTAGCCTTCCTCCGGTTTGGAAGCCTACCCCCCCCACCCCCTACTTGCGCGGGGAAAAGAAAAAAAAGCCTTGTGGATGAGCAGAAGCGGAACGGGGGACCCGAGAAAGGTAGGCGGCGGCGGCGCGGCTCGGCTTTTCCCACCCACACCCCCCCTCCCGACCCCCACGCGAGACCGGTCCCCCACGCGGATTGAAGGCTGGCTTCTGCGAGCGCGCGCGCGCGGTATGGTGGCGGTGGGGAGCTGCGCTGAATCCTATGGTCCCGTTTCGATCCCGTCTCCCGATTTCCCCGGGCGAAGGTTGCTGGGTGTGTGTTTGTGTGTGTGGAGAATTCTCACGGGTGAAAATGGGAGGCGTTTGTTGGGGATTCTCACCTAGGCTGTCGGGATTTGGTTGTGTGTGTGTGTAATTTTAAGGGTGGGCAAGATGTGATTGTGTGTGTGTGTGTGTGTGTGTGTGTGTGTGTGTGTGTGTGTGTGTTAAGCCAGAATCTGTGGGATTTGCTACCTGTGGCTTTTCTGTTCTGTAACCTGAGCATTCAGTAGTAGACACTCCTGTCGTTGGTCCTCCCAGCTCGATTTTTCATTATTATTATTATTATTATTATTATTATTATTATTATTATTATTATTATTATTATTATTATTATTATTATTATTATTATTATTATTAAATCTTTAGTGAGATTCACAACCTTTGAGGCTGGTTAATAGCTCAGCAGCTCGAGTCCTAACCAGGGACCTAGGAACTGTTAAGGTATCTTGGGAGGATGTAAACTGTTCTGAGTAAGGTGGTTTTTTGTAGAGTCAAAATTTTGTATAGTTGAAGTCCGGCAAATTTAGAATTTCTAAATTTTGTAGAGTTCAAGTCCAGCAAATTTAGAATTTCTAAATAGCGGGGTAGCCCTTTGGGTATTGCTCCAAGGGCTCCAATTACAATCGGGACAACACACAATTTCTTTTTCCACAGTCAACTTTAATAATAATATAATAATAATAAATAATAATAATAATAATAATAATAATAATAATAATAATAATAATAATAAATAATACACAAAAAATGACAATATACACAGCAAACGAGATGACCATGCTGGATTTCGTATCCCAAATCACTAGTCGAACACTTCCCAAGCGTTGCTGCTATAATTATTATTATTATTATTATTATTATTATTATTATTATTATTATTATTATTATTATTAAATCTTTAGTGAGATTCATAGCCTTTGAGGCTGGTTAATAGCTGAGCAGCTCCAGTCCTAACCAAGGACCTAGGAACTGTCAAGGTATCGTAGGAGGATGTAAGCTGTTCCGAGTAAGGTGGTTTTTTGTAGAGTCAAAATGTTCAAGTCTGGCAAATTTAGAATTTCTAAATAGCAGGGTCGCCCTTTGGGTATTGCTCCAAGGGCTCCAATTACAATCGGGACAACACACGATTTCTTTTTCCACAGTCGCTCAGCTTCAATTTGCAAGTCCCGGTACTTTGTGATTTTTTTCTTGCTGCTTATCTTCAATCCGTGTATCACCAGGTATTGCAATGTCAATGAACCATACTTTTTTCTTTTCAACTATTGTTATGTCAGGTGTGTTGTGGACCAAGTGCCTGTCAGTCTGAACCCTAAAGTCCCACAAGATCTTGAGTTTCTCATTCGCTAAAACTTCCTCAACCTGATGTTCCCAGTGTTTTTTTCTGTATTATTATTATTATTATTATTATTATTATTATTATTATTATTATTATTTTGCAAGAAAGGCTTGGCTTTGTGCTGTGGGTTTTGCGCGACTTGCCCTCTTCTTTGATGCACTGGCCCTTGACACTCCTGCCCTGGGATGGGCTGGATTTCAGCTTTCCTAATCTTTCCCTGGCATGGTTGATGAACAACTAATCTGGGTTAGAAGCCAGTAACAAGGTTGGAATCCATCTCCCCCACCCCCCAAAAACAGGTGAAGTTTTCCATAGGCTTTCTTTGGTTTGGGGCTTCTTATTTGGGTGAACGCTTGTCATTACAGTTTTGCAAACCCTGCTTGACACCTTAAGGTGGTTATATAAATTTAAATTAAATCGTGGTTTATTAAAATTAAGGATGGGCACACACTGTTAGTTTTTGCAACCGTATAAACTGGATCTCAGTGCACTTGTATGGCTAAATATGAGAACATCTCCCAATTCAGAAACATCCCCCTGACTTTATTTACTTATTAAATTTATATGCGACCCATCTTACTGTTGACGGATTCTTGAATGGCAAGTCCCACTTCGTTCAGCCAGTGTGCCAGAAAACCGATGCTGGTTGTGTATATTTACAGCACACAAAACTACAAGTTAGCCAGCCTAGCTTTGCCCAATGTGAACGCCCTCTGTATAATTAGATGATGTTTTGGTGGTTGTATAGATTCAGAAAAATGGGTAGAATTCTATTTGTGTTGTGCAGATATACTTTGGGGGAAACGAGACCTGGAGATTTGTCCATCTCTTGATAATACTTTTGGCCCCTATTTATGGGTGAAATGTGTGTGTTTTGTCTCCTACGTAAGGGCTTGTGATTAGGAAAGAAAAGAAAAGCTTCAACTGGTAATATAATTGTATGTACAATAATTGGTACATACCAGGGGTGGGTTCTACTTACTGTACCTTTACTACCGGTTCACAACGGGGCCGCACGCATGCACAGAAGCTTCCTGATGATGTTGGAGTCAGTGGGCGGAGCCTCCCACCAGTTTTACTACCGATTCTTGCGAACCGGTCCGAACTGGGAGCAACCCCACCACTGGTACATATAGATAATTGGTAGGACAGTTGTATGTATGGTATAGCTAGACCTCTCTCTTAAAGCACCATATTGTCTATCACAATTGCTGAATTTGCACAGTGCCCTAAAGCAATGTTTCTCAACCTTAGCGACTGTAAAATTTGTGGGTTTCAATTCCCAAAATTCCCTAGCCAATCCTTCTGGATAGGGAATTGTGGGAGTTGTTGAAGTCCACATAATTGCCAATGTTGAGAAAAACTGCCCTAAAAGTACAGTACTTTTCTATGTTACTTCCATCCCATCCAGCTCTTTAACTGAGATGGTCTTATCATCCCATCTTATAATGGGAATCCAGATTGGATGCCATCTTTGGGATTTCTGGAAATTTATAAAACCTGAAGAAGTTCTTTTCTGGCTCATTCTGTAACCAACCTCACTACCTGCCTGGATTGGAATGAAGTAACTCCTTTTCATTATTAGCTTCTCAACGGTCTGTATTTAAAGCAGGGGTGAAATCCAGCAGGTTCTGACAGGTTCTGGAGAACTGGTAGCGGAAATTTTGAGCAGTTCGGAGAACCAGCAAATACCACCTCTGGCTGGCCCCAGAGCCGGGTGGGAATGGAGATTTTACAGTATCCTTCCCCTGGAGTGGGTGGGAATGGAGATTTTGCAGTATTCTTCCCCTGGAGTGGGGTGGGAATGGAGATTTTGCAGAATTATAAGACAATTCCCCATTTATTCCTTCTATCTCCTGCTTTATCTGCAGTTGCCAATCCAAGAGAATTATGTGCCTTTGAGTCAGTGTTCATTCTTGGTGATTTCCTGGACAGGTCCCTGCAGTATTCTTGGCAAGACTTTGGAAGTGGTTTGCTCTTGTCTTCTTCTTCATCCTCGGGTTGAGTGAGAAGGATTGACCCAAGGTTAGCTAGCTGGCTTCATGCCTAAAGTGAGTTGACTCACAGTCTTCCAGTTTCTGGCCTGTTGCCTTAACCACTACACCAAACTGTCTCTTTAATCCAAAGGAACTCCTCTCTTTTTTTTTATGCCATGATGGCTGAGTTAGTTCAAGAAACTTTCACACAGGACTTTGTGAAAGGAGTTCTGAGGATCCAAGTTTAGAATATCTGTTGAGTCACCCTTGTCTACACGTTCGTTGACACCTTCAAAATTCTCAAGATTTAGACCTGATTTACTTTGAATAAAGTTGGGGGAGAGAGGTCTCATGGAGTTTGCTTATTTCTACTTTTCTACCATCTTTCTTGTTAAACTGACGGTCACCAACCTGCTTTCTTGCCCATTTTTAGAAATGGTGTTTATATTGGCACTACATCAGTTGCCCTGTCAATTCAGCTTCTACAGTTTGGTGCTGTGTTGCTGGAGCGACTGCTGAAGGACTGAAATTGGGCAGCCAATAAATTTAAATCAATAAATATTCCATTTATTACTGTGGGTAAATGTTTCATGGATTTCTTAGTTTCCGCATGGATATAAAATAAATGCATAGAGACACTTAACAGGAATCTAGCTGGACTGTTCCTTTATGTGCTGGATTGATGGCCTTGTTTTGGAATCCTTTTGAACATCACAGTCCCTCTGCTTTCCTGCACTGATCTGCGTGAGCAGGGGGTTGGACTAGATGACCTCCAAGGTCCCTTCCGACTCTGTTACTGCTACTGTAAGATCTCAAGAAATTATTAGGTAGCCTTTTTAAAACTGAACAGCTTTCAGATTCGCCAGATTGAATGGCAACTGTTGTATTCTTGTTTTCCAAAACCCTTTCTTTGCTTCTGTCAATCAATTGGAATAGAGCTGGAAGGGGCCTTGGAGGTCTTCTAGTCCAACCTCCTGCTCAAACAGGAGACCCTATACCACTTCAGACAAATGGCTGTCTAGTCTTTTCTTAAAAACCTCCAGTGATGAAGCCCCTACAACTTCTGAAGGCAAGCTGTTCCACTGGTTAATTGTCCACACTGTTAGGAAGTTTCTCCTTAATTCCAGATTGCTTCTCTCCTTGATTAGTTTCCATCCATTGTTTCTTGCCTTGCCTTCTGGTACTTTGGAAAATAGGTTGACCCCCCTCCCTTCTTTGTGATAGCCCCTGATATATTGGAATACTGCTATCATGTCACCCCTAGTCCTTCTTTTCTCTAGATTGACCATACCCATTTCCTGCAATCATTCTTCATATGTTTTAGTCTCCAGGACTTTAATCATCTTAGTTGCTCTTCTTTGCACTTTTTCCAAAGTCTCAAACATCTTTTTTGTAATGTGGTGTCCAAAACTGGATGCAGTATTCCAGATGTGGCCTTACTTTATAAAGCGGTACCAATACTTCATGTGATGTTGATTCTA